GGGAGGGGGCGCCTCAGGGTGGAGGGGGGCGGGGAGCTGCCGCAGGGTTGGGGGGGGCGCAAGGTGGAAGTTTCGCGCCCTAGGCGAAACTTCCTTGCACCGGCCCTGACTACTATTCCACTATTTGTTCAGCAGTACAAAATTAATTTGACAGTAAACTTTTCCTGGAAATCATGGCTCATGTAGCTGCTATTTCCATGTTTAAAAAGATTCTTTATAAATGTTTTCCATAGTAAGAAGTTTGGGCTGGAGCAACTCCTGTGTGTAGATCTCCTTCTTGCCACAAGAGGGAGCAATGTGCCTACAGTCTCATTGCCCCTCTGCCCTTATTCTCCATAGATGCCCCTCTGCTGCAAATCTGAGAGGAAAGTGCTCTGTAGAGATTTCAGGGCGCCTCAGCCTGGCACTGTCTGCTGGAGAATGGCTAGATTTCTGCACAGAAGTCCAGTTTGGACTTAACGCAGCCTTAAGTTGTATTTACTGCCCTCTGGGCTCCTTCAGCAACTCTGTTCTCAGTAGAGGGTGGGTGGAGTAAGAGGAGAGAGGGCCATTTCTGCAGGCAGGCTCCTGCCTGCACTGTGAGGGAGTCCCTTCTTGCATGCCAGGCTCCATGTTGATGAAAGGCCCTGTAAACTCCACTGCTCCTTTTCCCCACAAGATGTTGTTCTGCAGGAAGCTCCATAAAAGTGAACCTCAAAGAAGAATGGTCCCACCTCTCTTACCCTCTCCTGCAGGATTTTTCCCGGCAGGAGGAAGGAAATCGGGCAGTTTATAGTTTGCCCTTTCTTCCTCTAGAGAAGAAGTAAAATTGTTTCCCAATGCAAATTAATAGGTCGGAGCACAGACCAATGCCTTTCCACCAGGCTGATTGGTTAAGAATGTTCAACTCATACCCTTAAAACCAAATACAAAGATATCCTTGGTCTTCCATCATTAAAATCATAGGTGGGAATGTCTTTTCTAGAGACAGGACTTTCCCAGTTCAACATACTCACATATACACTACACGGTGGGGCAGCTGTACTATCTTCATATTATGTATCAATAGTTATGAGAAAAAGCATAGATTCAGCACTGCCATGTGTTTTTATATAATCAAAAGATTCTTGTCCTGCTTTACACATACAGCTCTTCTAATTCCAATTGCTTATTACTTTTCAAAGGTGTAGGCATATGTTGAACAAGAAATGCCATGAAAATCAACATCATCCCTATGCTGTGCAGAAAAGTGAACAAGCCTTTGGAGTCCTGCTAAAAGTCCATCTCTCAGGAGTCCTGCAGTACAATTTCTTAACATTTTGCTACCTTGCAGCACAAAGCGTAGTCCCCGTAAGATGAAGGTGTTAGCTACGGCTCACCTGGAAGATGTAGTGGGAAAAACAATGTACTGTAGCTTCACCCGTTTTCTCTTTCTCTCACTGTCCAAAGGATACGGAGGGAAACATCTCTGTAATGCATGATCAACTTTCCTAATGCTTTGGAGAGATGACAGTATAAATGAAACTGGCTCTCTTCTAGTCACATTAATAGAAATACCTCCTCTGTTAGCGAATGAATGAAAGAGTGATATATGTTTGGAAGGTATCAATATTTTAAATAAATCTTTAACTTTTGGAAATACTGTGCTTCTAGAATTGCTTTAAAACAAAAAAAGCAGAAACAACGAAAAATAGCCTCACACAAATCTCTTGTGTTAAACAGATAGAGCAACAGTGATTTACTGACCAAGATTTATCAACAGAAACAAAGCTAAAGAAATCTGCATACCATTTTGGTAAAATTTTTCAGGGATTTCCCTCTCCATTCAGTAATATTTCTTCAGGATTGGGATAATTCATTATATTCTGTTCTCTATGGACCTACTTCTGCATATTACTAGCTAGCACTGTAAGACAAAATGATTATTCAAAACTATGTATTTTGGTAAATTTCACTGTATTCACGGTTACTGGCCTTGTTTTATAGGAAAAGCACAAAACAAAGTAAGCTCAACAGCATTCTGTACATTAGTTAATTCCTTTTGACAATCATTACCCTACATTAGTTAACAGTAGCAAATGACTCAGTTCTCTGGATTACAAACAAACATACATGTTGGGTAGAGACTTATTTGTATTGTTACTACTTGCAGCTGCTTGTTTAAAAAAAAAAAAAAAAACTAACTATATGCCTTGGACATATTATTTCACATGACTGCAGCCTCATGACATGGCCACTCTGTCTAGCCACCCCTAGATGAGCATATTTATTGGCTGAATCTAGTACAATGAGCACTAGTGAAGCATTTGCTGATTACCACCCACATGTACATGATGCTGCTAGCCCTGCTAGTACTATTAGCGTTGACAATGGAAAGTGCTGTTCTATATGTCTAGGCTAGAGTTGGATGAAAACCATGGAGCTCTATGAACTTCCCCTGTTTATTTTTTTACTATAAAGTAAAGTTATGAAGAATACAGCACAATTTTTGGGAAGACATACTTCCACACTCTGGAATGTCTATTCTATGTAATTATATTAAAATAAATTTAATTACCACTTAATTCCAGTTATTGTAATTCTGCCAAAATCTGAGTCATACCTTAAAATTGACATTTTCCTCCAACGCCATAAGACTTGCTTTTTTTATTACAGAGAAACAGGGTAATAGAACAATCACATAGTTACACTATATCTTTGTCTCTTCACAACTTTAGAAATCATGAGTTTGGAATATGACAAAACTACTAGAAATAGTGGAAAAACCCCGAGGGATGTTGCCAGTATCCTTCTGTAGAGAAGATGAGACTGATGATATTGTGAAAGTTCTATTTCAAACACCACAGTGTTGACTGAGATATTACTGCCTAGAATGATTGCTAAATATCTATTAAACTTCTGCATAAGCAAGGTGTTGAAGCTACAGACCTATACATTTTAGCTTATCATTTCTTATTTGTAGAGAGAGGACTTTTGCTATTGCATAGCAAACCTGAAGTGTTCAGGTGGCTAGATTTTAGCACTATAAAATGTGTGTGGATACATATACTCATACATTTTGCTTTTCTGAGACAACACTATTTCATGGACTGGATAAAAAGGAAATGCAAAAAGCATAAGGGACTTTACCATTGGCTTGTGTGATCAAGAGGGAATCAAAAGTACTCAGGTCTCACCACTCTCAGCTCAAACATCCAAGCTGTAAGTTGGAACAATTCAGAAAGGAAACCATATATTTAAAATAGCAACTGCACCTGGCCAAGATCCTCCTATCCCACAGGAAAAACCCACACAAATTGTTTCTGGACAAGCAAGTCTATGATTGCTTTGTGGAGCTCCTCACACAAGTTGGGATTTTCACCGTCAAAGGCTACAGGACATATCCCCACACCTGGTGGATTGCTGGGATCCACAGGAAGCTAGACCCGTCTGTGTCCTTTCCCAAAGGGGACCCTGGCTCCTTGGCAGCATGGATCTATTAAGCTTGCACTGCCTTAATGATTTATAATTTTGAACTTCCCTCTAAACCAGAAAATGTAATTAAGCTGCCCTCCCAGTACAACAGGATTGCCTGATAGAACAATTGTCTTTAAAGTTATCAATCGCCTATATTTGCAGATAATGAAGCAATGTGTATTCTAAATTTCAACGGTTTTTCTCTGTGGCTTATAATTGTCTGCTCTAAGCTTGTATGCAAAGTTGAAGTCATCAGAAATTTGCTGGCAGTGTGCAACTCTAGCTATTTCTTCTACATAAATCAAAAGTATACTTTAAAAGAAAATGTTTACATTAATCCCTTTATCAAAAAGCATAAATTAAGCATTTCATCTGCAGAAAGTCAAAGGCCCCACTTTCTGATCCTGGAATAGGATTTAACAGCGGACAGCTTGTTAAGAATTATTAGCACACAACCATGTCCACAATTTCCCCCCAAAACTAAAATTCTATGTAAAAGGAATTTAATCTTTTAAAACAAACATTTATTCTGGATATTAAATCTGGGACTGTTCTGTGGATGGCTTAACAGTTATAGATTTTATAAGAAACATTCCCACGTGTTGGTTTTATCTGACATTCAACTGCTTGTTGAAGAGAAAGCTCTTCAAGGAATGAATCTAATGCACACATACACATACATAAGAGTGTATGCACATACTAGTGATAGCCATGTGATAAACTGTATTTAACATGCACTTTTGATCACCTAACCTGCACTCTGTCCACTACTCCATCTTCACCAGGACTTAATGTAACATTCAAAGCCTCTCAGCCGTTTCAAACATCTGCCATTAAAAAAAGAAAGAAAGAAACCATCACTGACAAGTTTAAGGTCTGATATCTTGTAATCCCTTGGGCTAGAAATTTGTGCTTTACATCACTAGAAAAGGGGTTTGTCATCTTTCCAAGGGGACAGTTGCTCCTAATCCAGAAAGGTTGCAAGATATTGGTACCTTAAAATCATAATTGTATGTATAAAAAAAATTAACTTTTAGAATTACCTAATTTCTCTTCCCTCAGAAGCCTACACAGCTTGGCTCGCAGTATTAAGGGAGCTGGCTTTATAGGTGAAAGGATTAAAACAATACCACCAATAACACTCACAACATTTCTAATAGTGTGTTTGTTAATTATCTATAGCAACTATGGAATTGAGCACCCAATATTTTATAAAATGTGCAATTAAGTTTTGTAAAGCATTTATGATATCATAGTGAATCACATGTATAATTGCTAAGGGATGCTTTAAAACAATAAAGACTATTTTTATCCAA